TCAAATTTGAATCAAGTTGAATATGAAAAGGGCTATGCACGAGCCATTTCGAATACGAGCTCGTTTTGACAAAAAAAATTTCAAATGAGCCGAACACGAGCAAGCTCCGTGCTCGCTCAAGCTCGGCTCATTTACACCCCTATATGTATACTTGCAATCTTTAATCACTTGTGAATGGAAATGTGATAATCATAATGAGCCTCTGCATGTTTTAGGGAATCACAACTTCTGTACTTTATAATAATAGGCATCATATTCTAATTTTTCATATTATTCAAGTTTTTGGTAACTTTACAGAGCCAATATTGTGTACATTCTGACATATTAGTTCAAAAAATCTTTGTATTAGCAGCAGTTTCCTATAATGATGAAATATGGGGATTACTTTCTCCTTTTATTGTTTAAGCCTTTAATTAAGGAATTTTACCTTCTAACGCATGGACTGTCTGCATTTTGAAGGGTGCAAAACACATTAGTTGGAACAGTACTGACATGTAAGAAATGCATTGGCTTTTTTCCTTTATTTTGTTTAAGATTTAGATTCAGTTAATATTTTCAATTTTGTTTGATCTATTCTTTCACATTTTATGATGCAGTTTTGATGATGAAGATGAAATCATCTTAAATGTCAAATGTCATTATTTACAAGCTATTGTAGCTGGCTATGTCTTTAATCTGGGAGATTGCGCTTATGTAAAGGTTGGACATCATTTTGAGTCAGTTTTCAATTCTTTATGGCCTTAAATTGTTCCTTAAAAAATATATATCAATAGTTGCATGTACGCATACGTTTGCATTGAGTTATGATTTGATTCAATTGATAGGAGAAGTTACTTTTCCATAACCTTTTTATAATGACCAAGTAGATACCAAATTAAAATTCTATACAATCGATCTGATTTACACTACTACAATCTTCTGGAAACTACATTTCATGAAGTTTTCTGATAGTTTGGCAAAGCATCAAGAATCAAAGAAAAAAATGAATGTTGTGTAACCAATGATCTCATAGAATCTTAATTTTTTGTATGCGTTTTGATAATTAAACAATTAGCCTTAGTTTAAGTGAAACTTAGGTAAACACAAAAATTTCGTTGTTGTGAACTGCTTTTTTATTAGCATACAAAATACGAAGCAAAGAATGGTTCATAAATATTAGGACTAGTCATCAGCACAAAATTTTTTATAGAGTAAATGGCTTCATTTTCTTATTAATTTCCATTTGAAAATGAAGACTTAACATTCTGGAATTATATATTTTTTAGCTTGAAACACCAAATTGAATATTGATTTTCTATATGCTGAACATATTCTACCCTTCTCTATTTTCCTACACGCATCACACACACACACACTATTCACACATGTTATCTCCAACAACACATACTTTTTCTTTTTATCATCTGATTATATATTCATTCTATAAGGACGTTTTGCAAATTATAGATCATTGGGAAATCATACCATTTGCTGTACGCAATAATTTTGTTTATAATTTTTTTTTACTAGAATTGATCTTACTTGCAAAAACTGTCGTTGCCGGTCCCAAGCCCGGATGTGAAAAGTAGAGGGTTGCGTTAGGAACTCGACAACCAACATAAAACTTGTCGAAAAAAAAATCATGACATGAATCATTTTGATCATTGTGTAAGTGCTAGGGCGTCCCCTGGAAGCGACGCGCTGTATAGCCTGAATACAATGAAAAGTGTGTAAGGGCCGCTACATCAACACTAGGGTGTAATGTCAAATAAGCAAGAGTTTCCACATTAAAGACGAATGCGCGTAAAGAAGTTAGTCTATAAAATTAATGAAACTAATATTAGAATAAAATCTTGGAATATATGTACTCTTAATGATAAATTAATAAAATTATTTGATATTATGATTCATAAAAAAGATTAATATCTTATGTATTCAACAAACTAAATGGGTTGGAGAAAAGGCTAAGAAGATTGATAACTGTATTCAGGTAAAAGTCACACTAGAAATGGTGTAGGTGTAATTATAGATAAGAGTTTGAAAGATAATGCTGTAAAAATTAATAGAGTTGGAGATTGAATTATAGCCCTTAAGATTATCATTGATACTAAAATTTTTTTATATTATTAGTGCTTATGCTCCTTAAGTAGGTTTAGATACAGGGTCTAAAGATAAATTTTGGAATGACTTATAAAACTTAATCCAACTGATACCTCTTGAAGAAAGAATTTTTATTGGAGGAGATTTAAATGGACATATTGGTAGAGTGACAGAAAACTTCAGAAATACTCATGGTGGCAACGGTTTTGGAGTAACTAATGAAGAAGGTAGAGTTATTTTAGATTTTGCTTTAGCATATGATTTTGTTATTACTAATATTTTATTCAAGAAAATAAATGAGCATCTTATTACTTATAAGAGTGGATCTAATAAAACACAAATTGATTATTTTCTTATGAGAAGAAAAGATCGTCGCGATTGTAAAGATCGTAAGATCATTTCAAGTGAAAATTTAAGTACCCAACATCGTTTATTAGTTCTAGATTTTAAGATTAAGAGTTATAATATAAAGAATGCTAGGACTCATCATCATAGAATTAGATAGAGAAACTTAAAAGACATAAAAAAAATTATTTTTATGAGTAAAATTCAAGATTTCAAAATTTGGGGTATTCATGAAGAAGCAAATGTTATGTGGGATAAAGTAACAAACAATATTAAACAAGTAGCAAAAGATGTGCTTGTAGAATCAAAAGAAAAAGTTTTATAAATAAAAATAGTTGGTGATAGAATAATAATGTGCAAGAAAAGATAAAATATAAGAAGTTATGTTATAAAAATTGGTTTAAATGTAAAAGCTTAGAGAATTGGGAAAAATATCAAACGGCTCGCAGGGAGTATAAAAGAACAATCAGTGACGCTAAAAATTCTGCTTTTAATGATCTTTATAATAGATTAGATACTAAGGAAGGTGAAAAGTATATGTATAAACCAACCAAACAAAGAGAAAAAAAATGTAAAGATTTAACTCAAGTAAAGTGTATTAAAGATAAAAATCAAAAAGTACTTTTCTTAGAAAAAAAATATTCAACATAGGTGGGTGAGTTACTTTGATAAACTTTTTAATGAAATTTCTGAAAATACGATCGAACTTAGTGACTTAGTGATTTTAATATCGTGAATAATAATAAAATGTTTCATTTTTACCGTCACATTAGTAAAAAAGAAGCTGAGGAGGCTTTAAAGAAAATAAATGGTGGAAAGTCTATAGGACCTGATGATATTCCAATTGAAGTGTGGACATATTTGGAAGATTTGGGTGTTTCTTGGCTTACTATATTCTTTAATATTATTTAAAAACTAAAAAGATGCCTGAGGAGTGGAGGAAGAGTAGGTCCACATTTTTAAGAATAAAGGGGATGCACAAGAGTGTGCAAATTATAGAAGAATTAAGTTGATGTGTCATACTTTAAAGTTATGGGAGAGGGTAGTTGAACATAGGTTAAGACGCATCACAAAGGTTTCTCATATCAATTTAGATTTATGCCGGGGCAGGTCTACTATGAAAGATATACATTTATTGAGAGGTTTGATGGCTAAGTGCAGAGATAATAAGGAGAATCTACATTTGATTTTTATTGATTTAGAAAAAGCTTACGATAAGGTTCCAAGAGATATC